CCCCCCCCCCCCCCCCACGCTTCAGAAGAGAATCTGAATGGGAGGTAGGGAAGGTGATACATTCAGTAAGCTGCCAACCTGTAAGGAATAAGGCAGACTGAGGGGAAATTGACAGGAGGGAGGATTGATATAAAAAGGACAAATGGAGATTAATCTGACCTCATACTGCCTCCAAAAGGTGCTGTCAGCTGATATTATGGAATGATTCAATTTTCTAAGATGCAGAAGGGGGCAGGGATGGAGAGGCCTTGTAATCAACCATCCTTTAATCAAACCACAAAATTGCACATCATTCATTTACAATAAGTATTCAGTGTATTCAGTCATGTTCACTGAATTTCAGATATATTGGAATGTGCAACCAAGCAAATCATTCAAAAGCACACTTTCTAGGCATTTATTTCAATGTAAAATATTAGACTCCTATACCTTTTTCTTTTTTGGATTTCATTTCCTGGCTCTTTATAAAAGTTACCTGAATGCAGTCTTGAGGTGAATATTTTAAACATACAGAAGTTAAGACACTATTATTTAATATTAGAGATAATATTTAATAGCACATCTGATAATATACATGCAAGGGGTCACAAGTATACTTTGCTCTGGTAACTATATACATCAGAAATTTTATTAAGAATTCAAAATATCACCTTTCCCACTGTATTACTGTACGTTTTCCCCTCTGATTGTACAAATAACAATGTTTGACTAATGCATTCACAGATACCTTAGGACCTGTGACAGAGAATATGATCTAAGTCTGTACAAATCATCCCAATGGAAGATAGGAGTTAGACTTCACCAGCAAAAAACCTGCGACCATGTCCACTGTCTCTGGATTCCACCCCTCCCAGACCTTAATGATGCTCTCTCCATAGTTGCTCTTCTGTTATGCTGACCTCTCCTGCACTCCTCCCAGTCACTGGAAATCAAGAAATTATAGGGTGGAAGGAATCTCAAGGGTAATCTAGTCCAACTCTCTGCACAAATGCAGGATGAGCTATTCCTATACTATTCTAGACAAATGCCTATCCAGCATCTTCTCAAAAGCTTCCAATGAAAAAATTTCAGTTTCCCTAACCAGCTTGTTCCAGTGTCCCACAGTTCTGACAGTAAGAACATTTTTTTCTTGTTATTTAAATCAAAATTTAATCATCTATGTCTCTTCTCCTTTCCTTGAGTAATACTCTATTAGTCTGCACACTCACTACAGCATATTGTCTATCATCTCCCAGTACCTGGCCCTTGGATTTTGATCCCTCCCTCTCATGCTTCAACTCACTGCTTCCCTGATCTCCATTTCTCATCTGGCTTTCAACTTTAGAATGACAACCTGACTTGTCAGAAAGGCCACCAATTCATGCTTGTCTTCACTCTTTGCTCCCCTCTTCACTTTTTGGATACCAAAGTCCTCACTCAACAAGTATGTTCACCTAATTGCCTTTCGCATGATGCTCATCCCCTGACTCTCCCGTCCTGCTGGCCTCTTCTTGAGTTCCAAACTATCAGCTTCCAGAACTGCCCTGCCACATACTACTTTCCTCCATCCAGTTCTCTTGATGTCAGATATCCTATTCTTCAGTTCTCTGTGGTTCTTTTGCCCATGCTCACTACCAGATCCATCCAGATAACCCCCAACACCTCTCTTCTTCTGGGAAAAGTCCCACAGACTTCTTCCACTACAGCTACACTCTTTAAATCTGCTGTCTTCCTGGACAAGCAACACTCTTCTTCTTTTGTTGGCTCACTCAATTCTTGTCACCCCTTTTCTTCTTCAACTCTCTTCTTCTATCTTTCTGCCCCTCAACCACCTCAGAAATCTCTAGAAACTTGCCTTGGTAAAGCTGACAAGATCTAGCATGACCTTTCTTCCCTACTTCTTATCCTTTAATACCCCTCCTCTCCTTTCCCTTTATTACCAACATTAAGGTTTCCTATCTGCTGCCCTATTTTCATCCCTCCAATAGCATCATCGATCCCATCCTCTCCTAGCTCTGTATCACTATATCTCTGACACCTTCTCTTCCCAGTTACAAGCACATCAGTTTTATATCCAAATATAAGCTCTTTGGGGCATGCCCCCTACCTTCTTTTGTGTTTGAAAAGCATGTAGCTTATCATGGGCATTATCTGAAACAAAAAATAAGAGTCCTCAGAGTCTGATGGACAGAATCAGAGTACAATTTGTACAGAGCTGTCATTTTTACATTGTCCTAAGATGGACTGTAACAGTCAACGGGAACAATTTGGCAACTGAAAAACATTTAGAAGTCAATAAATTAGCCCAAACCTTACCTTTTCATGCCACTCTGACTTCTTACAAGTTACTACATCACAAAGTTCATCACCTAGGATCACTAGATCTTTGGTCAACTGGTCAATTTCTTCAACAATATTGTCAGCACTCCAGTAACACAAGGGAGAATTTGCCAAAGTAGTTTTCTTACTACATATATCCTGTGCATTGCATGTATTCACATCTTTAGCCATGGTATCCAATACAGTCTCCTAAAGAAAAAATAAATGGAACAACTTCATTCATTTTTTACTACCAGACTGAAAATATTTTGTTTCCCCTGATATTTTATTTTAATGATTATTAATTAATTGCTATGTTCTCAGAATCCAGTCATTCCATATTTTTTAAGATAGCATTAATACTGCACAAGCAATCTCCTCGACTTTTTAACAAATGCATGTGTCAATGTATTTCTAAATTAGTAAAAAACACATAAGAGATACAAAGCTTTGCTTATTTTGAGCTATACCGCATTGCTTATTGAAACCAAAACAGAACCTATGGAGTGTGAGAGGGTTATAAGCTCAATGCCACAGATACTCTGGATGTGCCCTGTAGATGCTCTGGATAAAGGGAAGTGCCCTATCAAAGCCTGCAAGGGCAAAGATCAAGACCAGCACATGACCTGCATTGAGTGTAAATACCATTTAGGATAATCTCATTTTTCATATAGACTTAGGGCTCATGTATACACCACGATGTTTGCCCTTTCATGCACTGCAACTGCATGTCTGTTTGCATGAGCAGGATTTCCCAATGCTTTAAGTCTTTCTAGTGCATTAAACTAAAACTCCTTGGACATAGTTTAGTTTGGCTTGCCAGGAATTAAAGTGTTGCCTCCATGGATTCATTGCGTGCAAACACAAAGGCACTCAAAGACGTGTAATGAGCCTCTTTGTCCACCAGATGGTGGTGTGACTTTTTTGTAGTTCACGCCTTCAAATTGCTTTCACTTTCAAATTGCTTCCACTTCTTTCTTTTCTTATGTGGATTTTTCTTTTTTTTTTTCCTTATATGCCAGCTCCCTGCTTCCACATCTGTGTGGCAGGGCATGGAAACGGGGTGGGTGGGGGGCCCCAGGCCAGGGGGGGGCAGCGCTGGACTATCCTGCTGTCCTATGGCACCGGCCAAGGACCTGGCTTAATTTGGTTGAAAACCTAGGGCGTGTAAACACAGATGCTACACTCCTAAATAAACAAATTAAAATTTTATAAACCTATTTGATTTAATGAGGATTAAAACCCATGCTGTGTACAGGCACCCTTAGTACAAGGATTGGGGGAATCGGTCTCATGATGCTGTAGTGTGCTGCCCATGCATTCTGCAGTGATCCCCAGAACTGTGGAGCCTGCTGCTCTGCAGTATCTAAGTTTACCCAGATGTGGTGGGGAAGGTCAAAAACTTTCAGCCTGGAGCAACAGCTAAGTCATAAGCTTTGGTGTATGCTGGCAAAAGGCTGCTGACCCAGCCTGAGGGTTTGACATCTGCAACAATATAAAATTCCTCTATGATGAAACTTGGTGACTATGAGTATGTCTACAGTGCAATACCAGCACGTCCTGGCTGGGATCTGCCTGAGAGTCCCATCCCACCATGTATGCTCCCACTTGCACACTTGGAATCCAGAAACATGCAGGTAAGGATAGTTTAGCTTGTCCAAAATGCTTGAGAGCAGCCAATAGGGATGACCCAAGAACAGCTTCACTGACATATTTCCAGGTTTGGCAAACATGAATGGGAGGAGATTAATGCGGCACATTCAAGAGCACCCATGCTGGGATGTACCACCACCGGTCTAGACATACCCTATAGTTCCAGAAATGTCACTAGTTTTGTTAGGTTCAATAGGCCCTGATCATGTATCTGATTTGGTGGAGGCTACCACATACAAGCCAAGCTGACCGGAAGATCATGGCCAGAAAAACACTTTGTAAAATTTATATTCAAACAATATTTTTGCCAAATAGTTTTCAGACTTGGTTTTCCTCCATCGATACTAAGACATTGACATATTAGAAAGATACCCCATACCTGTGGTTCTCAACCTTTATACAGTCCAAGCACCCCTCCACCACTTTTTATGAATGCAGTGGCACCCCCAGCTAAGAATCACTAAGTAGCACTGCTCAGTGCTTCTCAACTGGTTTTGCTGCCTCCAGATAAAATTGCCCTGTGCACCTGCTGCACAACTAGCCTGGGAAGACTCAAGACTCACACGTACCCTCCTCCTGCATTAGAGTTCTAATCAGCCTAAAGCATGCAGGAGCAACCTCATGCGTGCGAGTCCCTTCTACACTCCTCCTGGAAACACTGTGGAACTGTCTGGCCTACATACCTCTGTTTCCAAAAGGAGAATGGGATGGTGTGGACTGGGGAAGGTTACAGAGCAGCAGCCAGCTGGATCTGCTTTAGGCTGATCAGAACCCCACTGAAGGAGAATTGTGCATGGGACAGTTTTATCTGGCTCCTGCTGTGATGGCAGTACCCACAGTGTAGCAGCACCTAAGTGGGGTTTCTCAGCACCCTGGGGTGGTGCAGCCCCCCTGACTAAAAACCATTGTTCTACTACCATCTTCAGCCCAAATAACTTCAAAGACCCCAGGCCTAGAAACAGTCTTCCATTCCCATAAATCTGAGGATCTGTTCAAAAACAGGCATGAAGACCTCTTGACAAAAGCATGCCTGAAGGAGAACGCAGACTTTTCCTTGTTACCATCCTGCCCACCGGGACCTATGTATAAAGGAGCAAGAAGGTCATGGCAGCTGAAGTCAGAGAGCGGCTGGGGCTCAGGCAGGACAAAGGTGAAGAGGCAGTAAAAGAACAAGACAAATAAAATAAATATCAAGTACCATATGTACTAAAATATAAGATGACATTGAATATAAGATGACCCTCTAATATTTAGATTCTATATATGGAAAATTTATAAATTTGTTATAAACTTCCAGTTATAAAATCTAATTATTGGAGGTTTACCTTGAATTTGTCTCCCTCCCACCTCTACAGCAAGGAAAATAAATGGGAGGAGGGTCAGGGTCAGGTAGCCCCCTTACCTTCTGTACCCCCAACTTCCTCCCCCTGCAGCCCCTTTCCTTCTTTACTGTCAGACCCTGCTCTCCCTTAACATATGGAAGTAAGGAGCAAATCTGAAAACACTGACTGAAATAAAAGTGCCTGTAATAAATTATGCATGATATTAGTTTAAAGCCAAATGGCTCAAGATTTACCATATAGTTCACTGGGCTGGGCCTCAGCAAAGTCAACAGCATTTCAAGCCATGGTAGCTCCCGTAGGTCAGCACTGCTCAGTATGTGTATGTACTCCAGATAGCCCTCACCCCACAAAGGATTCATGTGCTAATTAGTCTCCCACTCATGTCTAGAACAGGGTTTTCTTGTCATAAGTTCTGGGATCCTCTAAAAATTTATATTCAGATGCGCTATAGGGCAACCTGGTTCTGTTCCACTTCATGGAGGACAGGGCTACACTAATTATATGCAACAAGCTGAGAGACAGGGACACAGAGTGAGTCTGGAGGAACCGCTTGGGTCTCCCCATTTGGTGACGTTTGCTAGACATTTAAAGCCGGTGAAGAAACAGGAATCTTTGGAAATGAGAAAGAAAGGCACAGCTCAACTGTGGAAATCAAAATGTAGTCAATGACATGGCTCATCATGACTTTAAAAAGTCATGAGGGGACTTTAAGTCATCACTGAGGGAAACTGTGTAACAGGCTCTAGCATATATCTAATTCAGATGGATTCCACTAACCTGTTCTTGTTGTGGGTTCTCATCAATATGTTTGGCCAATACGGGCCACATGTTTTATAGTCATGTTCAGCGTTGGCTACATTTAATCAGCTTCATAGTTGGTTTCCATTACTAAGCACATGCTGCTTTTGGCAGCAGGTTAATGATAGAAAATGTATTTAATGAGGTTTCTTTGTATGCAAATGTAAGAAGAGTAGCTTTTGCTAATGCTAATGGTGGTGGGGTGGGGGGGGGGAACAACCTCCTCTTATATTCAACTAAATACAGTAATTGTCATTATTTACACAATTACACTGAGGACATTCTTATTTTAAAAACAAGTAAATGATTGTAGCTATTTTGAGTAAACATATATATTTGATCAATGATATACAAGCATGGAAAAATGATTCCCCCCACCCTCAATTTGAAATGCACTGAAAAGTGAAACATATTTTTTTTAGATTACTATTTAAGGATAACTAGAATTACTGCACTCAAATCAGGCCATCTAGTTATGTCAAGTTCTGATATCCAATAAATCTGTCTTGAAATTTGCTCATGGAAACAACACCCTTGAATTCAATATATACCATCTTTCTCTGTTAGCAGCCCATCAGTGGTAGGAGCACATGAACACCTTGTCCATAAAATAAATGTGCAATAATGAAGTCCCTTATGGATTTCATGGATTCTGTTTCATCTCCCTTTGAGTTTAATGCTTTGAGTTTTATTTATAAAGGCACAGATGGCTGTTTAGGAGGACAGAAGAGTACTTGTTGGAGGGGAGGAGGGCATAGAGGAAAATTGGAGGGGAATATGGAAGGATGGCAGAGAATCAGGAGGGAAAGGAGTCAACAAGTAATAGGAAATGGAGGGTGGCTCCCCTGTCTTAAGGTAAGCAGAGAGTAAAGAGAACTGGCATTTGCAACAGCTGAAGAGATGTGTATTTGTGAGTAGATGAAAGCTTAACTTTTCAAACAACGATTGCACCCACACAAGAAAAGGAGATAGGAGTTAAAATCAAGATAGGCTAGCAACATTCATTTGAGGATTTTTTTTAATTCATGATTTTGAGTCAATCTCCTGGGATCAGACATAGTTTTTGATCTCTTCTGGCTGCCAGTACTATAATTTAAAAGCAAACTGGACTGAAAACCTAAAAAAGCATTTTTTGGTTTCATTTTTAAAGGGGTAAGGACAAAATCTAGATTTGTGCCTTAGGTGCCTCCACTTGCCAAAAACAATAGGGCCCTGGCTCAAAGAGTGAGTCCAAAAAATAGAATTAGGCACCTGTATACTTATGGAGAAAGAAAGGTTCCTCTGAAGGGCAACTGAGAGATCTTGGATGCTAAGCACAGAGATGTCTACAGTTAGTCAACCCTCATCTGACCCCCATCCTCCTCTAGGGTCATTGGACTGACCTGCCAAATCTGGGAAGGAAGCAAGATGAAACAT